AAGTTATTTTACATATATATATATATATATATATATATATATATATATATTTCACTATTATTACCTACTTTGTGTGTCTTTCTTGCATAAATTTTGTAGAACAATGTAAAAGGCATAAATGTTTTCAAAAGCCCTGGTCATTATTGCCTCAAGAAACATCAGGTTGCTGACATTTTCCATTCTAATTAGAGTTCTTGTTAGTTATTGAAATTCCACCAGATATGTACTGTATTTAATATTACCTGTGTCTGATTTTCTGCAGCATGGAGAAGAACTTAGCACCAAGCGTCCCGTACACCTACCTGCATTCCAGTGGTCTCGTTTATGATGACTTGCCTGTCCGAGTCGTGAGCTCCTGCAGTCTCAACATCTACCTGTTTCCATTCGATATTCAAAGATGCACTTTCACTTTCAATTCCTACATACACCTTAGTAAGTACAAATTATGTTGACTATAAAGCAGAGAATAGATGGGTTTCATTATTATTATTATTATTATTATTATTATTATTATTATTATTATTATTATTATTATTATTATTATTATTATTTAATAATATTTTTGATATATATAGCATTTTTATAGTTATTTGATTGTGTTATAAAATGGTACATATTTGCCAAAGACATACATAATACCTTCCCTTTAAGAAAATATTCTCCATTTGCTGAGCAACTTGATCTGGTCCAACATTAATTTTATTGTCCTTACAGGTGATGCTGTACAACTTGAACTTGTAGGCACAGACCAGGATATATTTCAGGCGTCGATAAACAAAATGGCAACGATGGGTGAATGGCAGCTAGTTGGAATCAAATCAGAGAAGGTGACAGTACCAATCCTAGAGGGGTCCACTTATGATGAGCTTCGCTTCTTTGTAAGAAACTGGTGCAGTTATTTATAATGTTTGATGTTAACTAATTATAAACTAAGTGGGAAACATCAGCACATTCACAGAAAACACAAATTCTTGACCAAGTGAATTAGTTTAATCCATCAATAAAAACAAGAGATGCTAAAAAAAAGACAATTTTGCATTTGCATTCAAATTGCATTTACAGCATTAATTAAAATTAATACTGTATATACTTGTATTTACAGTATTTAAATACGCAAACAAAATGTACGCAAAAATTTTTCCACGCAAAATGTTTGCGTAAATTCTGTGTGGAAATTTACACAAAATCAACAGATCCCCATATTTTTTTTTTAACACCAATGCATAATTATGCGTTTATTGCAAATTTTCTTTAAAATGTTCAGCCTTACTTGAGGTCAAATTATAGTCCGCGATTGATATAACAAAAAGTCACATTCAGCGTCCCACATAAGCCCAAATATTGCAAAAGTCCTTGCAAATATTTCTAAAGTAGCACCACAAAACTAATGATTTTGAATGCGGAAAATCACAAAAATAATTGCAAAATCCTGGAGGAACTGATTGGATTAAAAATGTTACTTTTCACCACAAAGTTGTTTCCATTTTTTACTGATTATGTTTTTTTGAGCTCTTTCTACTGACATTCAAGTTTTGTATCTGTCTCAGATTTACTGTCTGCTTACATGCATTATTCTGCTGCAGGTCTCTGTTCGGCGCCACTCTACCATGTATGTGGTTAACCTCCTGATCCCCAGCTGTTTCCTCATCACTGTGGATCTCTTCAGCTTCATCCTGCCCATCCAAAGCATCGACCGGTCATTGTTCAAGATGACCCTCGTCCTGGGCTACACTGTCTTCCTGCTTAGCACCAACGACCTGCTCCCTAACACTGGAAACACCATCCCTCTCATCAGTCAGTTCTCAGAAGCTCTGCTGATTTATCTTACTGCATGTGTAGAATGTAACTATTCGTTAATGCAAAGTTAAGGCAATATGATAACACATACGCTGCAGGGGTTAAAGTGTTGAAAGTTTAGGCTGCAGACATCTCAGAACATAAAATGAAACCTGAGATATCTCTCTTAAAATCCACCGAAACAGAAAAATCATGCATAGACTGAGAGAAATATCTTCTGGTAAAATGGGAATGCTTTCATGACCCAAGCACAGTAAACAAATCTGTATTTGCACAACTGGATGAACACAACTTTTAGGACAATGTCAGTCTGGTTGTTTTGCTGGGCATTAAATGCTTCTGTAGCTTTTCACAGAGCAACACTTGGAAGCATGTTTGCAAAATTAACCTCCAATTTTTTTTTTTATCTACGTAATTATCACAAATATAACATGTCAACCTTTTATGTGAGTGAGGTGATTGGCTTCAAGATACAGTATCTTATTTTAAAGCAAATCTGTTAAATAAATTAGATTTGTGTAAATCCTAATTTCTTTTTTTGACTGTCGTAAAAACTTTACAATCCTAAAACTGCTGACTATTACCTATTCAAGAAGACACGCTCCCTTTCGTAGATAACACTCCTGCATTGTCATTTTTATCACTACATACTCCAGTATATATAATCACACATGCTACTGCTTTATCTAATTGGTTTATCAAGACAATGATAAACCATGCAGATGGTCTCTCTGCACTAATGAAGGCTTGCTGCATGCTGAGTGCTTGAAGTGGCTCCAGCTGATGCCAGCCCAACTTAATGTCAGATTATTTCAGCTAATATTTTCATTAAAATTGAGGCACAGATAGAGCATGAAATCTATCAACCCAAGATAACTGATCAACAAAAATATGTAAGGTAAAATATGTTGTAGTGAAAATAACATAATACAGCCTGAGGCAGCTGAATGCTGCGATTTTTACACTTGTGATTCAAATACACATTCATAAAGACTAGCTAGCTTACTCATGAGCTTTATAAGCCTGTGTAACATACATTGTCGAAACAGAGTGAGAGGAGCTTAATAAATAGTTACATAATATAAACATAAGGCACCATTTCCAGTTTTACTTTTTATGCAAAATGATGGAATCAAAATAAAGTGTAAGTATCTATTAACAGACAAATGCTAAAGTCAGAAGGTATATCTCAAAAAGTGACATTTCTGATTTTTGTTTTTCTGTAAAACAACTTCAAAGTGTTAGAGCTTTTTCTGGTTACTGTTCCAGATGTGTTCCTGTCTCTCTGTCTGACTATGATGGTCACCAGTCTGATGGAGACCATCTTCATCACCAATCTTCTGCGGGGCTCGGCTCACTACACTGCACCTCCTCGTTGGATGAAGGCGTTTGTTCTTCGCTTCTTGGGTCGACTTGTGGGGCTTCCACCAAAGCCTGAGCCGCAAGAAGACCTGGTGTTTAAGAATCCTGATACACGAGGTCGGCCACAGACCCAAAATATGGTTTTAATCTCCACCATTATCCATTTTGCTCATTTTGAATTGACAATGATAATTTGCTTTCTCTGGGACAGAAATGGCAGATGTCCCCACAGAGTCCAAAGGGAATGAAACGACAGAGAGAAAGGCGACGCTAAAGGAGGCCGAGACCCTCCAGGTTCTGAAGAACCTGAGCAGGGATCTCCAGGCCATCCACCGCCATGTTGTCCAGCAGCTCAAGGGAAGTCCCAGCTCAGAGGACTGGATCCAGATCGGCCTCGTCATCGACCGCCTGCTGTTCATCTTCTACATCTTCTTCACATCAGTCAGCTTCGTTTCCATCATCATTATCTGGGTCGCCTCATATAATGCTGCATAACTACCAGTTTGTTTTACTGCAGTTTTATTTAGAATTTAATGTGTTCCATTAAATCACAGATGTTATTTACTTTAGAATATAATTAGTTCAAGTTAAAATCAAATCAATCAATCATTGACTTTCACAACCCAGGTGTCATCTTCTGTTTCTAGCAACTTCAAACATATGAATATCCTTGTTATCAAATATTTTTCTTATGATATATTTTCAAGGCATGCTCTATCACTGCAAAATATTAGACTGTGTGAAACTGAGTTGAATTATATACATTAAAAAACATTAAATTCAAGTTGTAGCTTACTTATCACTTTTAGATTATAATGTTGCCTGGACATTTGTTGATCCTCTTGCACATAACCATAAAGGATGATGTAAATAATCAAATTGTAAAGTTAGGCCACCACTGTTTCTGTTTTTGCTGTTTGTGGCTAATGACTCTCACTGTGGTTTCCTGGAGTCCCAAAGTTTTAGAAATGACTTTGTAACACTTTCCAGACTAAAAGACCTCAATTTCTTTCTTTTTCATATATTTCTAAATTTATTTGGCTCTCAGCATGATGTCCATCTTTTTGGTGTACTTCACTTTTTCACCTGGCTCCTGTTTAAGTGATTTCTTGATTGAGAACAGGTTTGGCGGTAATCAGGTCTAGAGACATTGAACTCAGGTGTGATAAACCACAGTTATGATTTAACAAGGGGAAACATTTTTTTCACAAAGAGCCATGTGGGTTTGGATTGTTTAACCCCAATAATAAACCCTTTTAACTGCATTTTGTATTTATTTGAGGGAACTTACATCCTTGAGACCTAATTAAAGCTGATATATTTGCTTATCATGATGACAGTCGGTGTTGTCAACGAAATTGTGATTTTTTATTTTTTTTTTAAGCCAACTATAAATCCCAGATGAGCCTATAATTAATCAATGCAGAACTGGAACGGGATGTGATTCCCTGCAGGTGGAGGTGCTGAAAAATAAAATGGATGAATGCTCATTGTAGGTGTGAAATAACAACTTATTTTTGCCATTATTCTGTTTTTGGTCCATAATGGATTGGGTATTTTTTTTCTGGTTATGTTTATGAATATGTACTCCTAAGAATTAAAAGCATTAAAACACTCTGTCAGTGTCTGTATTCAGTATAAAATCAACTTTTTGACATAATTAATAATATTTTTTTTTAAAGTGTCACACTTGTAAGCACAGATTATATGTATAATGCATAAAATAACAAACTATAAGGAATTTTAGATCCAACTATTTTTTTACGAAACTTATAAATGAATTTTAGGTGAGTAGTTTGGTGTAGCTGTGATCAAGTATTTTGCTGGTAGATATGGTTAGATTGTGCTTTAGTCTCACAGGATTTCCTTTCCACGGCGATGTTCCTGTAAGTAACAAAAACAGGAGTCTCGGTGTGTGTGCGCTCAATACTAGCAGGAATTTTTCAGTGCATGTTATTAAACCCGTGTTTGCAGCATGTTTCTGTTTCAGCAGAGGCTCAGCTTCTTTTCAGGTTTGCTCTTACTGGCAGGTAATTAAAACCTCTTTTACTCCTTTTTTTGTTTGTCACAAATTATATGTTTTCTATTAACTTGATCTTAAAACATCTCATGGTGTTTGAGTTGAATCTTTTCTCTATTGTTGGTTCAATATATGGGCTCAAATTTCGAATCGGGACATTTTCTGATGATTCATAAAACGTCAAAGTTATTAAAATACATTTTTGTGAATTTCCACGTAGGTAATAATATTGATCAACATCCTTATTTTAGGTTTAAGTTGAACGGTGTGTGTTTGTAGCTTCATTGTTTTTCTGTAATTTAGCCTTGATTTACTGTTTTTAATTCTTACTCTAAAAATAGAACGCAAAGTTTTTACAAGTGAGATCACAGGCAGGTTATCGACAGTTTTATCTATTTCTGCACAGTTGCAACATGCCATGGTAAACTGGTGTGTAAAGAAGGCAAAAGTGGTCCGACTCACGAATCCATGCAGGCCGTGTTTGACATGCAGCCCTTCAGGCCAGCTGTAAATCTCAGTAATCCCACCGTCGCCAACATCTCCTTCACCCTGTACGCCGTCCTCGGAGTGGTGAGTAAATGCATGCAAACTGAGGGGAAATTAGCTAATAATCTAATAATAATAAATCTAAAACATGTAATAATTACCACAATCATTCATTGTTATTTTCTGCTTTTCAGAACGAAAAAGCTCAGTTACTCACTACATTTCTCTGGCTCAGACTGGTGGGTTTTATAGATGCACAGATAATTCATTTTTACACTGATTAGGAAGTTCACTGACACTTATTTCTGTTTGCTGGCTGCAGTTCTGGCACAACGAGTATTTAGTTTGGGAGCCTGAGGAGTGTGACGGTGTCGCCAGGATTTCTCTCCCTGTTAAAGAGCTGTGGTCTCCAGACATCATCGTTTATGAGTTGTAAGTTACCTGTTTTTTTTTTTTTTCGTTTTTTTTTTCTTGATTTATTTTTCGGCATGCACAGACCTTCAACATTCATTTAGATAGTAACTGAATGTCATGACCTTTACTGTTTCAATGCATCTTTAACTTTGAGTGCTACTTAAGCAGCAGGTACAGTAGAAGAAAACAAGCTGGTTGGGCGTGTCTATAAAAAAAACATGCTTCCTTCAATGTGTGTCAGTTGATAAGGAGTCATGCTGCATACATTTTGCTGATGACTGTATTTGTGTGTATCGTTTGATAATGTTAGTGTTGCTGGAACTGCAGTGTGGGCCCCTGCCCCCTCTTTCTTTCAGCCTGTTTGTATGGCAACAGCTTACAACAGATGTCTCATCAAGGTTCTTCAGAAACAGGTCCAGGTCATATCAGGTTACATAGAATTCAATTTGGTCCAAATTCAGTTCAGATCATTTTAATTCAGGTAATCCTTTGGCTGCATTCAGATCCTATTTCATTTAATGAGATCAAATAATTGACTTTTAATCAACTTCAGTATATTCAAAGTAAGCTGGTAAAAGGTTGTCTATCCTTGGACCAATCCCTCATCATGAAAAAGAAAGTGGGGCAGAAGATTTAATACTCAGCATCAATCAAACATGGATTTTATTTTCTTATTAATGAAATTCTATCCTAACAATTTAGTTTCCCGCAGAAAAGATTAGAAAATGACTGTTGCGCTAACATTATTTTAAGGAGCGTGTCACCTGGGATGTATTTTCTCTGTGGTGTCTACAAATGAAGCAGATGTTGACTATGCTGTATTTGTCATGCATGCAGGGTAACTCCCTTGCTTGCTTCTTGACATTGAATTTTACATTTCAAAATATGGTGGATCTATTCCTGCTACTGTTACTTGAGAAAACCTGTATTTAAAAAAGCCACAAAGAAACATTCATTTGTGGTCAATCAGAAGTGCAGCAGAGGGATAACAAGCGAGTGCAGACAAGTATGGAGAAAAGGGAATTACACCTGTGGCTTGATGTTAGAGCTGCAAACAGGCCTGAGACTAATTAAAACCCTGGAGTTGTACTCTAATGGTAAAAAATATATATATATGAAACTAGAATTTACTTGGCGAGACTATATATCCTGCTTGGGTTGGGAATGCCTGGGGATCCCCCTGAATAAGCTGTAGGAAGTCCCTGAGGAGTGGGATGTCTGGGGTTCCCTCCTGGATCTGCTGCACAGAGGAAACTCTGAGAGTTTCTCCTAAAACACAGTAGAAACATATTGAATGTTTGCACCTCTCAGCTTGTGCTTTATAATAAGGAGGTGTGCAAACTCTGGAGCATCAGAGCAGTTCATCAGAAGGAGATCCAGATCATACAAATAAAAAACACAGGCATATACACGCAGTAAACAGACGTTATGTTTTCTGTCAAAATGCATCTCCTAATCTGCTTCATTGTCCCCTGCTGTTTCCTCCTCCACTGCCTTCCAAGTGTGGATGATGATGTTTCCCAGGCATGTCCTTACGTCTACGTGAACCACACAGGACACATTCGCTGGGACAGGATGCTGCGGCTTGTCTCGGCCTGCAACCTGGAGATCTTCAGCTTTCCTTTTGATGTGCAGAACTGCACTTTCACGTTTGGCTCCTACATGCATACAAGTAGGAAAGCTTTCTAGGTGTTTTAGCAAAAAAAAAAAAAGAAAAACAGGGAGCCAATATCAACATTCTTCTTATTGCTGCACTTTCTCACACTGCCTGGTAATTCTTGTTCTCAGTACGTGACGTGAGAGTCAGTCCAGCTCTGACTTTTAGCGAGATGTCAGAAAACTCAAAGCAATACCTGGAAGCCAGTGGAGAGTGGGAGCTGGTGGACATACTGGGCGAGACGTCCATCCTGCAGTTTGGGGTCGACGAGTGGGACATCATCACCTTTTGGGTTTGAGAAATACATTTTTACTGATTTCACAAGATTTAAATGTACAAATGCTGTTGCTAGGGAACTGTAGTTTGTTGTCTGCAAGATTGGATTGAAAGTAAGTGACTTAGAAAATCTGGCATGTTGACAGTATACTAGTGAAAATTGTTGCCTAGGAGCAGAATTACTTATAACTCTTGCTCCTTGAGAGAACCAATTCAATATCCAGCAATAGATTATCTTTTGAAAGTAGTCAAGTCATTTGTGCTTCCGTACAATCAAGATGGCGGTAGAGTATCCGTGTGTAGGAAATGTGACATCACAGCTAAAAGGTCATGAACTTCCTTTAGGATTCAGCAGAAATCAAAACCACAGGTGTGTAAATGTGCATAAATTAAAATTAGCAGACTTACGGCTGCCTGTTTTTCTCTTGTCCATTAGGTGGTCATAAGGCGGCGCCCGGTGCTCTACGTGGTCAACCTGCTGATCCCGAGTTCCTTCCTCATGCTCATTGACATTCTGTCCTTCTACCTGCCGCCCCACAGTGTGGACCGGGCCTCCTTCAAAATGACCCTGATCCTGGGTTACACCGTTTTCCTGCTCATTATGAACGACCTGCTGCCCAGCACAGCTAATGGAACGCCCCTTATAGGTCAGAGATTGTGTTAAGGGCGTCCTGTTATGAAATAAGGTCTGTGTTGGTTAAAAAGAGTTTGTTGCCAAACTGCTATAAGATTTTGAATCATATCTAAAGTTGCAGAATGTAACTTTCATAAAAGAAAAAAGTTGTTTTAAATTTGTCAAATTTGACAATATGAGAGTATAATATAAGACAGATCATTTGTGAAAAAGTTGAGGTCCTCTGCTTTCTCCCAGAACCTGCAGAAATACACCGCTTAGACTGAAGTGACCAATCAGAGCCAGGAGGAGGGTGTTAGTGCTGTTAATCACCCTAGTGTTCACCCTTTTGCTCTTTACGTTTTGAAAAGGCCATATTTTTACAGCTGCGGCTTTGACGTGTTACGTGTTCATCTTCATCAGGTATCTATTTCTCGGTGTGCCTGGCTCTCATGGTCATCAGTCTCCTGGAGACAGTCATCATCACCAACGTCCTCCATCACAGCTCCATGAAGTACCAGGAGGTTCCAAACTGGGTTAGAGTCGTTGTCTTCAAATATATCGCAACCATGATCTGCTACCGGTGGCCCGAAGGCGTCTCTCCCACAATTAAAACACGGGAGGATAAACCTGAGAGTTCAAACGGCAGCGCAGGCGCGTCGGTCATCCAGCCAGTCAGTCAAGCAGCCGACAGGCACCGAACCTACAGTGGAGGTTCGAATGTACAACTGATTTGTTTATTTTTTAATTATTTATTTATCTTTTATTAAATCATTATATTTTTCAGAGATAAATAAAAACTGCATTGGAAATTTCAGGAAATGTACATTTTTATTTTGTAAGAAGGGTGTCCTAATCTTCTTACAATTGTAATGTGCAAAGCTGTTGATTTTGAGGGTAAAAATAACGCTACTCTGGATTCCGTCTCCTCTGTCGTAGACACAGTTTCTCTGCCTGAGCTGCAGCTGATCTGTCAGTACCTGAAGGACCTCCGCGCACATCTTCTGTCGGTGCAGAAGGAGAGCGAGCTGCTGGACCAGTGGTGTCACGTAGGATACGTCCTCGACTTCCTACTCTTCCGCATCTACCTGCTTCTGATCAGCTGCTACGCCATGGTCATTATCACCATGTGGTGCATCTGGATCAGTCAGACCTAACTGGATGTGGGTCAAATGTGTCAAATAATCACAACCTGACGTAAGCTGTATTTGTGCAGATTATTTGTTACAAATATACCCAGACTCGCATTTTAAGATACTCTGGTTTCCTGGGATTGTGGTAGAGTTTGTGTTTGTTGCTGAATCTGTATGTATCTTGTGTTTTAAAGTTGTAATATGTTATAGCAGTTATAAAAAAAAAGACATTTTGATTAACAGAAAATTGTGGTTGGAGTCAATTTCACATTTGTTGTAAAGTTTATTTTGTCAAAAAAGTTCTTGTCTACCTGTTACTTTTTTTTCTATTTAGTTTTATTCATCATCTTTATTTTAACAAACACATTTATATGTATATCAGCATGCCATGTAGAGATATGGCATAGATAAATAATATTGTTTATTTATCAGTTTTTGCTGTTAACATCATTTAAATAAAATATGACAATAATATAAAATGAAAAGTCAGAGCTTCAATTTTGTTGTTTTTGCTTTTTTTGTATGTGTGCACTATAACTTTTACCTGAATGATTGCATAGTTGTAAATTTATTATTGTGTCTTGGTATTGTTTTTTTTTTTTTTTTTTTAATTGTCCATTATTTTTAATGGAAGAAGTTTGCAGTTTGAATTAGTTTGTTGTTGATTCATATCATGGAAGTGTATCCAGAAAGGATTTAAGAACCAGCTGTAAATCCAAACACTATCTTTATGCAAATACAGCCATAAGAGCTCTTATTACGACTACCGAGGCAGTAAAGGCTCTGAGTCATGCGCCTGTGTCCCAAATTGAAAAGTCAATATTAGCTGTTGGAGGAGGTAATAGTTACGGATGAAATCATATGGCAAAAGCAGAAACAACTCCGGTCGATGAGCTAGTCTACAGAATATAGTCTAAGGAACCTGGTGTGAAAATTATGAAGATTTCAAATATCAAACCCTTTGCACTAATCCTCATCTTTTTCACTCTGTTTCACGGTAAGACAGTTTCTTGACGTGTGCATTTTGCCTTGTTTTTATATTTCTACATTAAGTCTTGTCTCAATAGGTACATGCAAATAACATAGGAAGTATAATTTTATTTTATCTGCTATAAATAATGTTTTAATTTTCTGTCTCTTTTCCAAAGGTTGTGTAGCAGCTTTAAACTGCACCAGTCCGTCTCCCGAGTCCCTGTTTAAGGAGCTTAATAACCAGTTATTCCATCAGAACCTCATCCCTCCTGTCGCAAGCTTCTCAGAGCCGCTCAACATAACAATCGGCATCACTGTGGTTGGGATTTTAGGAGTGGTGAGTTTAAACTATTCATACATCAAAAAAGAATTTTTGCCAAGAATGCAAACGGGCCAGCAAGTGGTGAGAGTGGAGGGTTAATTACGTCGAGTTGCTGACTTATATGGTGACGTAAAAAAAAAAAAGATCAACTTCCTTTAAGAGAGAAAATTGGGCTGTACATGCATGGGGTTTTGAAAAGACAGAGCAGACACACACAAGAACCACAGGCCTAGAAGTAACTTGTGTTCTTTAAGATACTTATTTACCTATGTGTATGTGTTCTTGAGTGTGTGGTTAAATTTGCCTTCTGTATGTATTCAAAAGTACTGAACAGTGGTCAGTGGTCACAATCATCTTGCAGTAATTTAAAAAATGTTTCATTTCTAGGATGAAAAAGCCCAAACGCTGACAACTTTTTTATGGCAAGTTCTGGTAAGAGAATAATGAACTATATGATGCAATGCTCGAGATAACAAAGATCATTTCTGTAGAATGTCGACATTTTCTCTCTATAAATATGTTTTTTTGTTAAATTTACGATGTGAAATTTGATCTAATTTTCAGTTGTAATGATAATGAACTTCTTTGTAATGTGATTAATCTCCTGACCAGGGGCTTTGTTTGTAATTAAATAGGAGTGGAAAATAGCAGGACTCAGCTGGGATGAGCAGGAATGTGGAACTGAAAGAGTCTCTGTACCTCGGGAGAAGCTTTGGGTTCCAGATGTTCACATCTCAGAGTTGTAGGTCTAATCTATTTTCATTCTTTGTTGCAGTTTCTATTAGAGATGTTAAACAAGTATTATTTAACAACTTTATTCCACAGTAACTTAGAATTATAAGGGAAGTTTTAATCAAAATGTTTTTAGTACAGCAGGGAACAAAACTGAATTTATTTCGTCTGGCTTTTCTCTTCTTTTTTATTTCAGTATGGATGAGAACAAATCTCCTCAAACTCCTTACGTTTACTTAAACAACACCGGTCATGTTTTTGATGATAAACCCATTAGAGTGGTCAGCTCCTGCAAGCTGGAAATCTACAACTTTCCCTTTGATATCCAATCTTGCTCGCTGACGTTTGGGTCATATCTACACTTTGGTGAGACAACTATACAACATTTCCATTACAAAAGAATAATATCTGAACTGTGCAGTGCTTCCTACACAGTTTAAGATCTATTTTTAGATCTTAAAATGAGTTTTTACTTAGGAAATATTGTACATTTACATTGTAAGTGTACAGTAGCAAAGTGTTTCACTTTCAATGGTTATTGACTGACTGCTGAGCTCTCAAAATGAATGTTTGTCAAGCTTCGGAAATACAGATGGTTCCTGGCGTGACAGGAGAAGAGGTTCTGAAAGAGTCCAAACGTGTGCTGGAGACGAACGGAGAGTGGGAACTCTCCGACATACAAGTGGTTCCATCCGACCTGGAGCTAAATGAAGGAAGCTACTCTGAGGTCCAGTTTCAGGTGGGCTTGGTTTTTTACTATTATATGTTTCTCTTTTCTGTAAAAAAAAAAAAAAAAAATGCATGCATATCAAAACTGCAATTACAGTAGTTTCAGAATCAGCATCCACCTCCCTGTAGCAAGAAACATTTATCTAAAACAGGGACAAATGTATTATTAAAACAGATTCTGCTTTAATTTTAGCTTTCTATGGAAATGATTTTTCTTTGAGGAAAGAAACTGACAGACTCAGAATTACAGCAAAGCAAATCATAAAATTGTCTAGCATAAGATATTATTATGCACATTATGTGATGGCCTGGTACAGTATAATATATTACAGTAAAGTTTAGCATAGCATAACACAGCATAGTTTAGCATATTACAGCATAGTGTGGCATAGCATATGGTGATATAGTATAATATAACATAGAATAGCGCAGTGTTGAATAGTGTAATACATTAGTAGAGTAGAGCATAGCATAGTATAGTAAAGTGCAGTATAGTGCAGTACTGCATAGCATTGTGTGGTGCAGTGTGGTCAATATATAATACAGCATAGTGAATAAAGTTTAGTCAAACGTAACAGTGTGGGAAAGTACAGAGCCGTATGAAATGGATGAGCACAGTATATAGTGTGTGGTGTAGTATAGTACAGTGTAGTGTATCCTGTGTATCATCTGCAGCTGATCCTGCGCCGCAGACCAACCCTTTATGTGGTGAACCTGCTGGTCCCCAGTTGCTTTCTCGTCGCTGTGGATCTCATCAGCTTCCTGCTGCCTCCTCAGAGCGTGGACAGGTCCTCGTTCAAGATGACCCTCATCCTCGGCTACACTGTCTTCCTGCTCATCATGAACGACTTGCTGCCGGTCACAGGAGACAGGACACCCCTGATCAGTAAGAGACACCTCAGATTTGGTACATGTTCAGTTTTGCATACTTTACAGCTAAACTGTTACTCTAAAAGGCGCGTCAGTTACAGCTGAAAATACATTCAATGATATTTGACAGAAATAGAGATTGAAGTATATTCAAAATCTATACAACAGTATAAGAAACTCCAGTGAGGAAAAAGTACTAAAGAGGTGCGATTAACAATCACAAACAGAGGCACAAAACAGCAAGTCTTCAATTAATGGCATGTGATTGTTTATATAACCAGATCAAGTTTCTCCTTCAGTCTAAATGTTCAGTCTGTGTTGGCTCGGTCTCACACTTCATCCATATTTCTACTGAACAGCACCTCTTCAGCACCAATGTTAGCACAGGCGTCGTGTTTATTGACTTAATGACTACCAGATCTTATGAGGAAGTTCTGATCTAAACAGAAATGAGTCGGTGACTTCGCTTGACTCGGGCTATGCTCTCTGTGTGTGACAGACACACCTCTAAAATCAAGTCAACCTGCTTTCTGTGAGGAGACGAGCAGCAGGCTTATCTGGTTGTTATCTAAACTTTGTTTCCTGATCAGGTTTCTCACTCACAAATAAACACAAACACACAGAAACAAGCGTGACGTACCCTCCAGCGAAATATATTTAACTAACAATCTCTTCATTGAGGATAAATAAAGTCCGACTTGTGTCAGTCTTAATTGCTCTGATGTTTCCTGCAGACGTGTTCTTCTCCATCAGCCTGGCTCTGATGGTGGCCAGCCTCCTGGAGACGGTCTTCATCACCAACATCCAGTTCAGCTCCAGCCAGTACAGTGCCGTGCCTCACTGGCTGAGCGTACTGGTGCTGCGCTATCTCGCCGTTGTTGTTTGTATGTCTCCAAAGAAGAGCAACAGAGTTACTGTCTGCCTCAACCCGTCTTACAAAGGTAAAGTACCTTGTGAAATAAATAAGAAACACAGCAGACGCCATGTTGGTTGGCTAAGTGAAGTTTAGGATTTGAAGAAATTCTAAGTAGTAGATGAAGTGCAAGCTACATATCTGCAACAAAGAGCATTTCAAGTTTAAAATATATATATATTTATTTTCCCTTTATTAACGACTTTTGTGCACATAGAAATATCTCCATACTGTATGTAAAATGCTTGGCAAAGGTTACAGAAAAGAAAAAGGACAAAGACCCTCTGCATAGAGATGAAACTCAATTATTATGAAATGAACCACCGGATAAAGTTTTAACACTTTTGCTGATGTTGCACTTTTGCAACGCCAGCAAAGTGCTGGTGTTGCATAAAAAGAGCAACACTGGCCCTTTTTATGTCTCAGATGTATTTAGATGTTTTCAGTACAGAAAGCAAATAAAAAAAAAAGTGCAACCAAAAGCTACCTTCTTTCGTCACAATAAATATGTATTACAGAAATCAAAAATGAATTTAGAAAGGCTTTAAACCAAACAATGCACACATAAAAGGAAAAACAGAATCACAAGACAAGAATCATTCCAGAAAAATGTCGTTAAAAATAAACTTTTCTTTGCCTGTACATAAATTTTACGGCCAGACTTTAAGAAATGGGCGTTCTGTTTTCAGTTGCATGTATCAAAAATGGTTTAAAACCCATCAAAAATCCTCTTGTTTCCTCAGACTCAACAGCAAAAACAAACTCCGTCACCATCTCAGGAAACCAGAGCATCTTAAAGGAACCGCATCCAGTGAAGAAGGCCTCCAGCCCTCCTGCTGCTCCCCCAGAGCCGGCTCTGGAGGAGCTGAAGAAGCTGACCAGAGACCTCACAGCCATCCGTCTCCAGGTGGACAAACACTTCCAGGGGTCCAAAACCGCAGAAGAATGGCAAATGATTGGGATAGTAATCGACCGTCTGCTGTTCTACTTGTACATAGTCTTCATTATTGCAAGCTTCATCACCATTACGGGTATCTGGATCTGGAATAATACATATGCTGCATAAGTTACATCTGAAGGGATAAAAACACCGAGTTTAATGTTTTTATTTCCATTAAATCTGCTTATTTCCATAAAACAAAAAATATTTAGCATACAAAAAGTACAAATCAGAGCTAACATTGCAGAGCTGCTCCAACATGCTGCCACAGTGTTGATCCAGTTCATGCTTTGTATATTAGCAAAAAAGCAAAACACAGACAAGCACTCTGGAGTCATCTGGTTTCATTCTAAAGGACAGAAGAGACATCTAGTGGCCACCTTCTTATCTCTAACTTGTTTATGGTTATAAACATGCTATAAAAACCTGTAACATGAGCACATTTTGTATAATTCAGATGACTTCTGTCAACACACGAGACTGTTCTAATGTAAAACTGGATTTTTTTTTAAATGGTCATGTTATGTTTGAATTAGGAGTTTGTAAAAATGTATGTTAAAACGTATAAATTAATTTGATTCCACAATGTTTGTAATCAATAAAAGTATATTTCAAAGTCACACTGCCACCACTAGATGGCACCACCGTCTACAAAACGTGCTGATTGTTAATCATGACAAAATGTAAAGGATGACCCTCCATCACACTGATAAAGCAGCTCTGGGTTAAATGGAGCTTAAAAAAAAACAGGTATGTTGCCATGGAGAGCTGGGAAGTCATAAGAATAAAATTCTAGTCAATTTTAATGCTAAAATGATTTTTAAAGTGCTTCAGTCAGAAAAAGCTGAGCAGTCTGACATATTAAAAGTTAATAGCCACTATTTATTTTCTAACATTTAACTCAGTCTTGCATTTTTGAACTTTACACATTTTATATGCAGAAAATAAAATCTAAGATATTGGTTAAAGCTCTAAAATCTGAAGGAGCTTAACCGTAATACAAACCATTAACTAAACATAACCTGAAAACATTTTAAACTTCAAAGAACACCGAGCGACACCAGAGTTTTAACAGTCTTGCCAGTCATTTATTGTGAACATCATTACATACTCAAAGCAAATCAAGAATAAGAACAACAATTAACATTTTTAATAAAAGTTTTTAACTCTGTAGTGCACTTTAAGCCTCTTCGCTCCTCCTTAACAAAGGCAGGTCCAAGTCAAAGCTGATCAGAGGAGCTGGGCGGATGCTTTGTTCAAAAGCTTTAAACTGAGAAGTCTCTTTTGTAAAAAAAAGAAGAAAAATCAAGTGCATAAACAATGAATGGATCCATTTTGAAGAGATTAGCCGTTAGAAATTAGAGGTACAAATTATCCAGTTAAGACTATTTTTGCTGATCTAATTTATGACAAATAGAACCATTTGTTAGCAATTTGAAACCTCAAGAATAAATATAATATACATTTCTGCTCATTTATACTGGTCCACAAATGAAAAATATGAAAATCCAATCGTTAACATAAGTGCAAAACACTTTTCTAAAAAGTCTAAAATGCAATTTTTCACCTGATCTCATTTCTTTAGACAACACATGAAGTTACCTGGAGAAAAAAAATTAAAAATAAAAATGTTATATAACCTTTAAACATGAACGGGACGATAATTTTAAACCTCACCTCTAATGCAGAAAGCCAATTTGCTAAACTTGAGTTTAACCTAAGAAAGTGATGAATTAACATTAGATCAAAACCGCTTTAGGCATCATTAGAGTCAGTAACATTTCAAGCTCAAAGTTCACGTTCTTAAAATAAACATTAGCAGAATTACATCCAAACTCCACCAGAACACACCGGATTAGTGCAAAGAACCAAACACGCAGTTATCTCAAAAGCTGCAACAATAGAAATCAGCAAGGGCAGCAGGTAGATACCAGCACTCACTCAAAGTCCACTTTAGTTACCACACACACACACACACACACACACACACACCAAGCAGCAGGACGACTGGTCATTCCCAGTTTTACCGATAACGCTTGCAACAATGACACCCGTTCCTGCAAATTCAGCTTTGCTGAGACACTCCACCATCGTTTCATCACATGTTCATTGGTCACAAAAGAAGTGTCAAAGTCGGCATAAAACACAAAACATAAGGCTCAAAAAATAGAAAAGTACATGGTAAATATTTTCTTAATGTTCAAAATAAAACAAAACTGCAGCTGAAAGGACCATTTAAACAATTATTACTCGTCAAATCTTAAAAGTTATGCATCTTTAAACTTCCAGTGTCATTCTCACAAATAAATGTATCCTACCATGTTGGGTGTCAACAAAACAAAATGTCAAACTAATAAAATAAGCATCTTACCAGCATGTGTAAAGAGGGCGAAGCCTTGGGCTAAATCAAATACTCTTACTTTGTTGACAGATTGGTTACATTTCACAACACACAAGTGCTGAAAGTTAAAGATGGTCTTTGGCTCGTGTTGCACATAAAACTGCAAAATTATTAGCATCAAGTGACTGTGCAAGGCCGCAGGTTTGATCTCTCATGCAGAGCTGGTCTATTTGTACAGGAATGATTCAGCACTGTTGAGGAACGCTGGTAAGGAGAAGAGTTACACAAATATAATAAACTTAAAATAATTGTCAATCAAAACAATTAAACTCAACAGATTTTTGAGTAACGGCTGAATTGTTAGCTTGTTAGGTTTAAGAAATTAAATCTTCAATGTGTCACTTTTAAAGAATGCCTTAGTTTTTTTTTTTTTGTTTGTTTGTTTTTCCCCCACAGTGTGGAGAAAATTCTGTTAAATTTGCATAATAATCGATATACTTTTCAAGCATTAATAAAAATAAAGTGCATATCTTGAAGGGGCTTGTAGAAAACATTCATCTCAAAACTCCACTTCCATACGTGGCGATCTGGTCAAAAAAAAAAAAAAAAAAGCTTTCTCTGGTGATCTGAGAGGAATGAGCTAGAGACGGGGAGAAGGTCAGAGACTACAATCCTCGTCGATTTGTCCTCCAATTCTTCTTCTTCTTTCCTGAGGTCACCGTGTTGCCGGCACTAAGTCCCTCCCCCTCCTTCGTCCTCTTGCTCCTCCATGTTTCTGCGTGCCATCCTCTCCCGGCGCTCAGCCAGCCTCCTACACCGGGGGCAGTCTTTACCCGTCCTGAAGCAGCTCTGATGGTAACAGGCGTGGCACTCTGAAAGGGAGGAGGAACACAGGAACATTAGCAGGCGAAAAGACAACTACACGTCGGACTGCGTGCAAAAGCCAGCCGCAAACAGGTTCAACCAGTTGCACAAAAAAAAAAGTAGCCAATCAGAAGCAGAGCTGAGGGAGGACGGGCGTATAAAAGGCACAGAGGTGAAAGTCAGCGAGGCAGATGGGAGGAAGCAGTTCGTGCCCTCAGAGCCTCAACATTAAACCTGCATAGACTCGTCCTGATACTCATTAGCAGTGAAAGCAGTTTCAACCTGTGCAGCACTTGATTTCATTTGCCCTCATACGAAATAAAGTGGAAAAACAACATGTCTAAGATGATGGATTCATGAGATGAAACTCAAGGTGAATTTAAAAAACACGTTTATTTCATGTTGAACTGAAGATAAAAAATAAATAAAAAGCCACAACTGTACAAGGCATAAATAATCTCTTCAACATCACAGATGAACTCTAACAGCAAACCGAAAACTAGCAGATGAAAGAAAATCGAATAGAGAACAACGCAAGTGATCAAACTAAAATCCTCCACTCGCTCAGGCAGAGAAACATGAGGAGAAACCAACTCTGACAGGCGTCCATTTTGAAATTCAGAACCACAAGGAGTTTCAACTATAAACACGAGAGAGGGGACGCACACCTTCTGTGACGTCATTTAGCAGCATTATTTTTCTAATGAAGGCAGCCATTCAAAGCTAAAGAGAAGAAAATATGACAGCTGTTCCTCCTGGAACCAAAAGGAATAGCTTGAGTTTAATCTAGAGGTACAAATTATCCGGTTAAGACTATTTTTGCTCATCTAATTGCAAATCAGATGCCCACCACCATCTGGCAAAATATCTACCCACCACCAGCTGTGCAACCAGAAGAGCCAAAACCAACACCAGCCCAGTAACACCAGGAACGCAAAACAGTAAATGAAGAAAAGTTAAAAGATTCCCACACCACAAGAAGATCATAAGGGTGTGAAACAGCAGTGAGAGATGTCTAAAATGGTTGAGAATATTCCCAAAAGACCATGATGTTCAAGCTGCAGCTCCACCCATTGTCCCACAACACACCAAATTACAGTTTTATACACCGTTAGAGTGGATTTAATAAATGACAATACATTAAAAAGTGGTTTATAAAGAGGCTAGGGCTGTCCCGATTCTATCAGTTATTGACTGTCAAGTCAAGTTAACAAATCTAATTAGTAAAATGTAGATATTAAGTGGGTCTAAAGATGAGGAAAATATAGGAATTTTGTTGAAAATTAAGCACTGTCACGTCTATAAAGACAGGACAGAAACTCCTGATACAATCCCATTCTGCATAGTGCATGTGTATTGGGATCAAGGGTGTGCAATTAACAGAGCTAAAATGTTTCACCATGAAGGCACATTAAGAATCCACTGATCATCTGTTAAAAAAAATAAATAAATCTTTGAGCCATTGGTTTCAAGCAGCTAGCATGCCGATGTGAGTGAAACATGATAGATGCAGACAGCACACTGTAGGATTAAGTAATGCTGTTCGTCATATGGTGTGATATGACAGTCACAGCTGCATCACTTCTGTAAAAGTGGTACACATGTGCACAGATGCAGTCCTAGCCTGTTTGGCGCCCAGGGCGAACCACCCAGGAGATCTTGATGTTGTTTCTATTACGATATCCTGCCACCAATATGACAATCTACCCACAGGTCTAGTCTACACAGAGTTAATTTCCGTATCAAAACAGAGAGCAAATATGATGGCTGTTAGTGAAGCATGAGTTAACTGGCTCAAGCTGTTAAGGATAAAAATATATACAACAGAAGCTGTGTCAGTCAGATAAATGGTTGGAAGTAAATGACAAAGATATGTTATATTAGTAGATTGAATCTGTCCAATAGAGATTCTGTCGCTGTTAAGAAAAACATAGGAGAGGACCGTCCAGAAGAATACTGGTGAGCGAGTTAAATACTACACATTCACAGTAACACTGCAATAGTGTGGCATTTACTGCACTGTAATGCTGCCGAGTCATAACGCACGTGGAATCGGTTGTAAGAAAACAGCAAACCGGTACTCTGTTTTGGTTTTATCGACTCAGATTCACGTTTTTTTTAAAAAGAAAAATCTCAATCAGGACATCCCTAGTTTTAAACCCATTTTCTAAAAATAAACATACAGCAGGACATGGCTTTGAACTGAACAGATTTTGACAAGGATATTGCTCTATCTAGAAAACAGTCAAAATCTCAAGTCTCTAAATTGACCATTAAAAAAAACAAAACTGTAAAACAAGAGAGAAAATGTAGAAAAAGTGTAAAATGTGTAATAAATGGAAAAGAATCTTAAATAAAAATATAACAAGTCTTAAAACTGCTTTGCATACGGCTCATAATTTTACCTGGCAGTTATAACAAAATAGTGCTCTCTAATTTCAAGAAACAGGCTTTATTAAACTTTAATCTTCCTCAGCATCTACTCTTGACCTCCAACTCCTTCATCTCCATCCTCGGTCTCTCTGTTCTCTTCTGTGGACGCTCCATCCTCCCCGCCGCTCACCCTGCTTTTCCTGCCCTTCGTTAATCTCCTGGCTTTGCGGGTTTTTTGATTTCTCCATTTCGTCTCTGCTGTACCCTCTCGCTCTTCCTTCACCACCTCCGCATTTACTACCACATCACTTTCGCCGCTCTGTTCTTCCTTCTCCTCCGTGCTTTTGTTTTTTGAAAAAACACTTGCTAGCTGATGTGGTTTCAGTAGTCTGAAGACGGAAAATTTTTCAGTTTTTACTGAATCTGTGTCTTTCTGAGCTTTCTCTTCCTCCTCTGTTCTTACCAGTGATCTTTTTATACACTCTTCATTTCCTTCTTCCTCTTTCGATTTCATTTCTTGTTCATTCTCATCGTCTCTTTTCGAGAAACTCTTTACTCGATTACCCCTGCGCCCTTTCCCCTCCTGTCCTGCTTCATCCAAACTCTCAAGGCTGCTGCACTTTTCGCTATCACTTCTGTCTTGCTTTAATCTCTTTATTCGTAGAGCCTTCAACAAACTCACTTTTTCTCTTCTTGCATGTTCATCTTCACTTCCCTTGCTCTCAAGCTCTTCCTTCCTCTCCTTTTCAGCTCTCCCTATATTCTCCTGTTGCTTCTCACTTTCTACAATCCAGGGAACTGAGTTAACCGTCTTCCCAGCACTAAAATGCTGAAGCGCTCCCTCTCTCGCTGATGAATCCCTGGACTCCTCCTTCTGTTTGTTTCCTCCATCCTGCTGCTCTCCGCTGTTCACCTCCTGATCTACCCCCAGCTCCTCTCCGCCCTCCCCTTCTTTCCTGTCTCTGGAAAGCGCTCTCGCCAGTCTACGAGGGGTCGGGATCTTCCAGTCTCTCCAGTTTAGTTGAAAGGAA